GAAAATGGTAATATTCTTCCTTATGATTCATCTTGTTTGTTTCAAATCCTGATTGATATGTCAAATTATACAAAATGTTTTCGTGAACATATGTGAATTCTAAAAATCTTCGATGAACCTAAGGGTTCTAATTTGTTAGGTTAATCTAGCGTGATGTAAACTTTCCTTAAGTGAACTGTTATATAAACACGGTCAAACACTCACGTATATTCGTCCGGTGGCGGCACCGACTAGTTTCGAGCCCAACGGGGGCCCTTCATAAGGGTGAGTGGTACTGGTATTATTTCGCGGACGCGGCCCGTCGCTCAATTTCCTTAAATGCCTGGTCTTATAGAAAGTTGCGTAGGAATTTGTGGATAGCATCTTTCTCCACGGGATTTGACCTTTTTAAATTTAAGTTATGTGGTACATCAATTGAAGTTATCAAAGCTAATGTTCTTATTCGAACACTAGGTTCCACACGTGCGTCTTCAAGAGCCTTGAACTTGGTTGTTGAACTTTTGGTTAATATACAGTTGTATTTATGATACGTTATTACACGTGCAAGTATTCCAGTACTTGAAAGTCCACTAATCTCATTAACGATTGAAACCTCTCAGTCTTTCTCAATTACTGGACTCAATCATTCCCTTCATATAAATTATTGGTTGTTCTTATAAGTTTATTTATCTTATATCTTTTGGATTTATGATACTTTAATTCGAAGACGACTTAAGTTCGTATACATTTTTTAACAGTGGTAGAGCCCGCTTTAACATCTTTGCACGAATTGGCCCGGTTCGCCCGGTGAAATACCACGACCACACAGAAGACAGGCGTGAAGTGGAAGCTATTCCGCGTTTCGTCTGATGAGCGTGTGTCCCGGAGGCCTAATTTAGTCCTCTTTCCCTTCCCCTCTTTTTTCTTGTAAGGAAAAGATGGAAAGTGGAAGTGGACTTTCCGGAAGAGAGGATGCATGGGAAGGGAAAATATTTTCTTTCTGTGCATCCTTCTCCGTCGATTAAAGGTAGGCAACGCATATGCAATTGCGTATGTCTATGGGCAACGGTCACTTCGCTATTTTATTTAGCGATTTCAGGTGGCCGCTCGCTCGTTTGCCACCTTATGATATAAAAAAAAATATAGCCTTTAATAGTTAAATCAATTGTTTCATTCAGAAATCTTACTAATAATATAGATGCTAATTTAGATTGATGGATACTTGTTTGTAGGCAGTTATCTCCAGAACGGCTGCATGTATTACGCAAAAATTTGGCATAGATGTAGAACATAGTCTGACAGAACACATAGGCTACTACATGTTTTTAAATTCCGCGTGGCCGGGTTCGCGGGCAAACAGTTAGTATTTCTATACATTCGTTTAGAGTACTCTCATTATAATTTCGTTTTAAATTTATAGGGTTTTACCTTCAAATTGACAAGTTTCACAAACAGATAATAAACATTCTATTTCACTTGGAAGTGGCCACAATCCTGCGGTCGACTACTTTCTAGGATGTTTGAAACAGTTCAATCTTACTAATATTATACTGGGTGGCGCAAAAGTACTGGCACTAAAGAAAATACTTTTTTTTTTTTATATGACATTTTCTGTCATTCTGTTGTTGAAAATTGTGTAGTGAACAAATGTAAAATACACTGAAAATAAATATGGACCGTTTTACTCCCCAAGAACGTGGAATAATTGTGTCAATGTTCTTACGGAATAATTCATCAGTGATAAGAACACAACGTGAATTTCGTCGACGATTTCCCCACCGTCCGGCACCAATTGGTCGCACAATTCGACGCTTTGCCACACGCCTTGAAGCAACTGGCTCAACATTGGATAGACCTAAGTCTGGGAGACCAAGAACAGGCCGTTCAGCTGAAAATATCGATGCTGTGCGCGAAGATGTGGAAGAGTGTCCAGAAACATCAACGAGGCGACGTGCCACGCAATTGGGCATTTCCAGACGGACCCTGCAGCGTATTTTGGTGAAAGACTTAAAGATGTTCCCGTATAAAACTCAAATGACTCATCAACTGCTGCCTGCTGACCACCGAGCTCGTCTAGATTACTGCCAGCGCGTCATAAACCTCAACCTTGAAGAGGATGATTTTCCTTCAAAATTGGTTATGAGTGACGAAGCGCATTTTCATCTCTCAGGGCATGTCAATAAGCAGAATACTCGGTTCTGGGGCACTGATAATCCGCGCATTATTCAAGAAACACCTCTACACCCACTAAAAGTTACTGTATGGTGTGGCATCTGTGTTGACAGAGTGATCGGACCCTATTTTTTCGAAGACGCTGGAGGCAATGCGATAACTGTCACTGGAGAACGCTACAGAACCATGTTACGTGAGTTTTTGATACCCAGTTTGGACGAATTGGGGCTGGAGCACATCTGGTTTCAACAAGACGGCGCTACGGCACACACAGCGCGCGTCACTATGGACTTAGTGAGGGACGCTTTTCCAAGCCGAGTTATCTCTCGTTTTGGCGATTTGCCTTGGCCTGCAAGATCACCCGATCTGACCAGTCCAGACTTCTTTCTTTGGGGTTTTTTGAAATCTCGGGTGTATGTGAACAAGCCACAGACTCTCGCAGCTCTAAAAGAAAACATTCGTCAAGAAATAACGAACATATCGCAGGAAGTGTTACGGCAAGTTATGCAAAATGTCATAAATAGGGCTCAAATGTGTATCAACTCTGGAGGTCACCATTTAAAAGACATCATCTTTAAATCCTAATGGTACGAAATTTAATGGCACAAATATACATTTAAAAAAACCTAAATCTAGTTTCCTAATTTAGAAAAAATGTTATAGCTGAACCAAATAGGGTCTTTACTTTTGCGCCACCCAGTATATATGAATGTTTGGATGGATGTTTGTCACAAGGCATCTCGATGTATTTTTGCATAGAACATAGACTAGAAAGACACAGGCTGCTAATTAAGTAGCTATAGAACGTAGTTACAACGTTGCGACAGTAAGCAATTTTTCTTTTTTTTTACTTCATAAAAACTGGATTTGTCCGAAATTTGGCCTATTAAATTGGCTCATCTATAGTTTAAACAATTCTTGTTTATGCGCTTAAAAATGCAAACAAACAAATACATTGAATCGAAACTTTATGACTAGATGTGCCACGAGTTATTTAAAATGTAGTATTTTGATTTAATTGCAAAGTTATACATGTTTCGTATCCTCTTTAGTGGAAATGCGTCACGACAGTGTTACATGTTCGATATATTGACAGGTGCTCTGCGGGCTATTCGTGGTGTCAAACTAGTTTCGATGACAGGCTAAACTTTACAGCCGGCCAAATCTATATTTAAATGTTCCGTTAAATTAAACGGGACCGAGACCTGGTATAGTTATTGGCTCAATAAATTTTGACTTCATAGTTAGTGTGATGAATACTCAAAAATGTGTTTACATTGATTTTACAATCAAATTATTAAATGACGTCACAGGTTTAGTTTCGCTACCAAGTATAATACTAATTTTATTAACATTCGATAAGCGTCGGTGGCTCAGGGGTTTAGGCACTTGAATTGTAATCTGCAGGTCCTAGGTTCGAATTCCGAAATGTACTTATGTGTTTTTCGATTTTCATATGTACATTTATCCGACGTTCTTACGGCGAAGGAAAACATCGTGATGCAACCTGCACACAAGTCAACCAAGCCGCACTGGGCTAGCGTGGTTGACTATGGCCTAGTCAACCACTTAGGATAGGCCCTGAGCTCGGTGGGGACGTATAGTGAGCTGATGATACACATTCGATAATGTGCTAGATGAATGTAAAATCATGCATTAACATAGTATATAACGGTAAATGATTGGGGATAACTTTGTACTACAGTGGTAAGGATAGTTTTTTTGGTCGCCCTTTAGCCGATCAGCAGTTGACTCGCCATACACGGATCGTAATTTGTTTATTAAGTTGTTAAGAAATGCAGTCGTATGCCCACTGCATGTAATATTCTATGACGACCTTAACTAAGATTTGTTTAATCAATGATAAAATGAGATTTATATAAATAGAATAACAGGCAACTAGGAAATTCATCAGAGATTTCTCGAATGGCGACATGTAGAGTTCTTTAGAAATAACATGTAGACCTTAATGAGCTGTTCTTGAAGAGTGAATGATGTTTGCATTCATAACATATAACAAGAAACAGTCCTACATTTTTCTACTTTATTGTATACTTAATAAATTCTTTAGTATTACGGATATCAATGCACCAAAGATGAATTTTAACTTTATCGTATGGATTTTTAAAAAACTAACTCAGAATCATTTACTTAAACAGTTAGTGTGGATTTCTAATATTACCTTAGGACTCTGGGTGCGATAGTTAATGCATTTATTCTATGTTGGTTTATAATTATTTACGTGTTGGCAAGTGCATTGTATGCCGTGATTCGCGCTAAATCGATCATTCGCACCTACGGTCATCATTCGAAACTTGTTCCGTTCATTATTACTTTCACTTTTATATCGATGTCTCGTGTCCCATTGATGGTTTGTGACACGTCTAACTTGATACTGAACAAGGAGTTCCGTCCGGTATTGTAACTATCGATAGATCGTGTTTTGTTGCCCGTTATATTAGCGTATCTGCTGCAATATATGGCCCTAGTGCAATGACGTATGAAAATTGGATTGAGATTTTTGTAGATGTTGATGAATGGCTTTTGGAATATTAATTCTAGTTAGATTAAAGTTTATCGTTTGCTTTATTTTCATTATGATTAAGAATGATCGAAGAAGTAGATAAAGAGTAAAGAAATTCTTTTGTATTTTCAGATAAATATTATATATATTAATATTACACATAAAAGCAATTTTCTTATCTAATTATTTTCTTCAAAAATCTTCTTGCATGTTTTGATTTTATACCCTGTTGTTTCCCATGATAATTTAAATATAACGAAATAAATCCTTCTGCAAAAGGCAAGTGAGTGACCTTTTTTAAATAATTTAAATTGTCTTGTTTCAGACGACGATGTTGCGATTCCAGATAAACACAAATTCGATTCACGGACTTACGTCAAACCAAAGAAACGAGTTCAAAGGCCGAGTATCCAGAGCGTGGTTGAGGTTGTCTCCAATCCACCATCTATTATACAGAACACACCACTTGGACAGTCCGTTAACAAATATCTAACATACAACAAGTACAACAATCCATTGGGAGCAATCAGTCCTATGCTCAGGTTGAAGACATTTAATGTGGATATAAATACAGATAATAGTAATGCTGTTAAGGAATACGCGATGAAGAGAAGAAGTCTGGTCCCTGATGATGATCCACAGGTAATATTTTATCTTATTTATAGTGATTGACGAAAAAAAGTCTTCAAGGTTATGGTTCCGTCATGTTAAGAGGCTGTTTACTCTATGAGGCATGTCACTCTAAGAGACAAGTTATTCCATAATGAAAATACCGCGATTTGTCCGCGTCTGAGTTAAGAAATTAAACCGAAACAACGAAATATAACGAATTAAGTTTGCTTGAAGAGTAATTAACTATCTTACAGTTCAGGCGATGTTTATTTTCTTTTAGCCATATTAAAGAACATCTAAATGTCGTCAATATTTCATTCTTAAAGCATATTTGTTAATCGATAAATAACCAAAATCATATGATAAGAATTAATTTTAAGTAAACGAGGTTATATGAACTGTCTTGTCTAACACAATAACGATCATTTGTTTTGTATCAATTGTGCTCATACGTATAAACAGCTGTATACATTCAAAACAATACATTACGTTTCGTATTGTTTTAATAATGGTATGATTTTAAACACGGACAATCGACCATCTCAATGATTAAAACGGTTGATCGCACGGGAAATAACTGTGTCGTTATACCTTCATTTATGGATGTCGGTAACGTGAAATCGTACCATAGAATTCGCAAAGAAAAACATATCCATTATTCATAGGATTGAGTTAGTTTTCTAATATTATCATGAAATAAAATTTTAATAATTTCAAGGAATCTATGGCGATCCTTTTTGTATGAATTGTGTGAAAGAGGATTCAGATATGACGTCTGGTAGAGATGTATGACAGAATAAATTTGTACAATGTTGACCTTTTTATAGAAAAGCTGAGGAAGATGATGAATCTTTGGCGACCAACTATACTCACTCTAATAAATCTTCGTTAAATTATCGGAAGCTTTCTAACCGTTGGTTCCTGAGATCAAAGTTTCTGTATAAAACATATCGACATCGCTATCATTATCTTCAACAACAAAGATTTAGACTCGGAAAGATTTAGATTTAAACTCGGAATTTGGTCTCGGAAACTTACGGTAACCGAGTTCAAATATACCGTCAATCTATTGATAACAGCCATGAGATTAAAAGAAAACAATCGCTAAATATAAAACAGTTAATCTGTAACAGTTATTACGGATTAAATTATCGGGGTAACTGCACGCAGCGTGCGAAAGCTTAACCATTGTCCGCAGATAATGACCGCTGTCTTTGACCTCTGTTAAAGCAGCCATACGCGGACGGTATATTTACATTAATACTCTGTCATACGCATAAACGTCCTGCACTTTGCTCCTCGATAAAAATGCATCTGTACACTGACAACTTTTAGAAATCGGTACCAATTGCTTAAATGATCCGTGTATAGCGGCTCTTAGTGATTCAATACATTTGAGTCCAACCTTTTATGGATTGTGATTCAGTTTTGTTTGCGGATTTGAAAATAAACAGAACGATGACTTTTTTCAATAAAAAAATATGGATTCGTATCCATAAAGTAGACTTTGATATGATCTCAATACTTTACTATTTGCGTTTTTCAAGTTTATTATGTCGTCAGTCTGGTTGACGATATCTTACTAATATTATAAATACGAATGTTTGGATGTATGCATGGTTGGCTGCTTGTTAGAAGGTATCTCCAGAACGGCTCAACGGATCTCAATTAAGTCGGCATTTACGTAGAGCATAGTCTGGAAGAATAAATTTTTAATACTGCGTAGACGGATTCGCGGGCGATATCTAGTTCCAATATACATTCGGTCTATCATGTAATGATTACAAATGTCATTGTAAGATCGTCTAGGTTTCTCGAACGTGTCTCTTTTGTTTTTATTAAAACATGAGACGTGTTTCATTTCTACTTCTATGTAATTTTATTTCATATATTGTTATTTAAAATATTCATAACACGTGAGCTCATTTTTCCTATTCTAAGATTGTTTTTGTATCGAATATCGAATAAAGTATACGTACTAGGTATGGTTGCGCCATAAACAAGACAGATTATAAAACCATAAAGCAATTGATGAATGAAAGGTGTTCGAATACTCTATTTCATTTAAAGTTCTCTCTGTCTCGTTTACCCTTTTTATTTAATCTTTGTGTTTTGACAACAAACCCATTGTATTCTGCCTGTACACTATTATTAGTGTTATGTTTGAAATGGATTATGTCAGCTTATTTGTGCAAAAAATAATCCATTAATTCCCCAATCAGATGTGGGTGGCATGGAATTTAAGTGTATAATTTGCATTACAAGTACTGGTTTCTCACTTGTTGAACCAAATGTTGAAACAATTGGT